CAGTGAATAGAGAGTAGCAAATAGAGGGCAGTGAACAAGTTAGGATTATTTGATATTTACATCCCAACTAGAGGGGGGAGTGTTAGGAAATATGTTATGAGGGTAGTGAAGAGAGAGCAATGGAGCAACGGCAGATTAGGGTTCCGTTGACGGCGATGGTTATTCTAATGACTTCATGAGCTCTGATACCATGTTGGAGAAAATAATCATCTTCTTATTAATTATTAACAGAGGGATTACATGAATATATATAAGCAAACCTACAAACCCTCTAAACATAAAATGGCTTTATATCCTTATAACATATTTCCTAACAGGAATGAAGTTAATAGTTGGATGTCAAGTATTGTGGTGTATGTAGTGGGTGTAGGATATTGAAGTGCATTGAGAAAACTTATCAGTTATGATAGAGCTCGGAATTAAGAGGGGTTTCTTCCTTTTGCCGGGTTCAACGGTGTTGTGCCAAAATGGATTTAGGTGATGGTTGGTCTAATAATTGGTGGTGTTTGTGGGTCGTTGAGACTCTTTTATGTGATTATATATTTTTCAATTGCGTTGGATTAATAAACTTTTGGGGTTGCGTTGCCTGAAGAATAATATTGTGAGAATTTTCTTATTATTATGGGAGAATGGATGATCCTAGTAAGAATATAGCTGAGGGTGATCCTAAGAAGAATAATGCTATGATAACCGAGGTGCTTTCCTCTTCATTTAATCGAATTACTTTGACGAGTAGGAATCAGCATAGACCCTTAACTGAGTCTAAGCCCAGAGATGATGCAACTTGGGATGTTGTTGATGCACGTATTCTTGGCTAGATGCTAAATTCTATGGAAAGTAATATAGTTAATCTAGTAACTCATATTGACATAGTTAGAGAAATGTGAGAGTATTTGAATGTACTATTTTTGGGGCAAAATAATTTGTCACGAATTTATAAGCTATCGTAGGAGTTTTACAGATCTGAGAGGAAGGAACGTTCTATTACGCAGTACTTCGTTGATTTTAAAAGGATGTATGAGGAGTTGAATTCTATTCTCCCTATTTCAACTAATGTTCAGCAAATGCAACTTCAGAGAGAACAATTGGCAGTGATGGGATTCCTAAGAGGTCTTGGTCCATACTAGGAAATAGTTAGGTCTCAAATTCTTGGAGGAGAGACTATTGTATCACTCACAAATACATTTGCTTAGGTTCTTGGAGTGTCTCATGAGTCTCCTTAGGACACCATATCTGTGGTAGATAGTTTGGCTCTTGTGTCCTATCTCGAACTGGTAGTGGAAGTAGGAATGATGGAGGAAACGTGGAGGATAAAATGAACGTAGTGCCCGAGGGGGAGGCCAAGGCACAATACCAAGGAGAAGTCAAGGCCAGCAGCATCTTTATGGACAATCCCACCTGTCTACTGATAGATCAGGGACTGCACAGACTTGTCATTACTTTGGTAAACCTAGTCATATTAAGAAATTTTGCAACAAGTTACATGGGAGACCAGGAAAACAATAGCTTGCAAATACTGCATTGGGTATCGACTCTTCTCCACAGTCTTCTGAAAGTAACGTAGTAGTTATGTCTGATGAGAAATTTGCGTGCTACAATCAATTTCAGATTTCGCAGCTTGCTTCTTCCACTACTACTTTGGTGTAGACAGGTAATACTACTGCATGCCTTTCAGCTACATCTCACCCTTTGATCATTGATTTGGGAGCTTCTGATCACATGTCAGGTCTTTTAAATATATTCTCCTCTCTCACTCCATCTTCATCCACAGTTACTCTAGCCAATGGTTCATCTACACTTGTTAAGGGCATTAGCACAGTGCATCCAACTTCATTGCCATTGTCCTCAATGCTTTATCTTTCACAATTCTCGTTTAATCTCATGTTTGTTAATAAACTAACTAAAAACTTTCGGTGTTCAGTAACATTTTATCATGATCCTTGTATTTTCCAGGATCTGACTATGAAGAGGACGATTGATAGAGGACGTGAGCAGGGGAGCTATATGTGCTTGAAGACGCTTCTTCCATTGCGTGCTCTAGTGTTACATCCCTATATCATATCCACTACCGTCTTTGTCATCCTTCTCTACACAGTTTTCAAAAGTTGGATTCCAATTTTCAGTCCCTTTATAGTTTAGAGTGTGACTCATGTCAACTTGGCAAATTACATCGTGTCATTTATCCGCCTCGAGTCATTAAATAGGCGGCGTCTCCCTTTTTTTTAGTTCATTCATATATTTGGACTCCTTGTCATGTGGTTTTCAATTTGGGTTTTAGATAATTTGTTACTTTTGATGATGACTATTCCAGAGTTACTTGGTTTTATCTAATGACAAGTCGTTTGGAGTTGTTTTCTAAATTTCGTGCATTTATATCTGAAATTTATACTTAGTTTGGTGTGCATGTTAAAGTTTTGCATTCTGATAAAGTTAAGAAGTACTTTTCTACACCCTTTTCTGATTTTATGACTCAACATGGTATGATTCATAAATCTTCCTGTCCTGATACACCACAACAAAATGTTGTTGCTGAAAGGAAGAATAGACATTTGTTGGAAGTTACTAAATCTACGTTATTTGAAATGAAGGTCTCTAAAACCTTTAGGTCCAATGCTATCCTGACCGCATGCTATCTCATTAATCGCATGCCTTCTTCTGTTTTGCGAGGTCATATTCAATTTTCTACTTTGTTTCGAAATCAATCACTATTTGACTTATCACCTCGTATTTTTTATTGTGTCTGTTCTGTTCGTGATCATCAACATGGAGTATCAAAACTTGATCCCAGGGCTATCAAGTGAGTTTATGGGATACTCTTGTACTCAAAAGGGATATCGTTGTTATTCTCCATTACTGAGAAAATACTTTATAACTGCTGATATTTCATTCTTTGAATCCATTCCCTATCAGGATGTTCCAATTACTATTTCTAAGTTGGATGAAGACTTACATGTGACCATTGTTCGATCAACTATTCTGGCTATTTCACCAGTATCTATACAAGAACCACATCCTCTCTAGGTTTATATTCGGCGTCCTCAAGTAGCTACTACCCCCCCCCCCCCCCCCCCACCCCTCTTCCTCCTGTCGCTACTACGTCATCGTCCACCCCAGATCCACCATTAGTTTATCCTCTTCCTATGTCTAATCTTGATCTTCCTATTGCTCATCTCAAAGGGACAAGTGCTTGTACTCAACATTTTACTGCAAATTTTATTTCATATTCTTTCGTGTCTCCCTCCTTTTGGTCCTTTTTATCTACCGTTGAACAATATCCTGTCCTCAAGTCTGTAGTTGAGGCGTCACAAAGCTCTGGCTAGAGGACAGCTATGAAAGAAGAATTAAAGACCCTACAAGTGAATCAAACTTGGGGCTTGGTACCTCTTCCCTCAAACAAAACTGCTATTGTTTTTCGATGGATGTATGTTGTGAAAGTTAATCCTGATGGTTCTCTTGCTCACTTAAAAGCAAAACTTGTTACAAACGGATATGCTCAAGTGTATGGGGTTGACTATCTTGACACTTTTTATCCTATTGCCAAGCTTACTTTTGTTCGTAGTTCGATCTCTCTAGCTGCCACATACAACTAGCCCTTGTTTCAACTTGATGTCAAGAATGCTTTCCTACATGGTACTCTTCATGAGGAAGTTTATATGGAGCAACCTCCGGGGTTTGTTGCTCAGGGGGAGTCTGGGAGACTGGTTTGCAAATTAAAAAAGTATTTGTATGGCTTGAAGCAATCTCCACGGGCATGGTTTGGAAGATTTTCTGAGGCTATACTTTCTTTTGGACTATCTAGATGTGGCAATGATCATTCATTCTTATAGGGAATTAGGGGGAGGCAAGATGTTCTTGACTGTGTATGTTGATGAGATTATCATCACGGAGCTAAACTAAAAAATATATTCTCAACAACAGTTTAAGACTAAGGACTTAGGAAAATTGAAGTATTTCCTAAGGATTGAGGTGGCACAGTCATAGAAAGGTATTGTTCTGTCACAGCAAAAATATGTGCTGGATTTGCTCACTGAGACAGGTATGTTGGGATCAAAACCTCTTTATTCACCCATGGAACAACCTTAAACTGAGAGATTTTCGATGATCCCGAGAGATATAGAAGACTGGTAGATAAGCTGAATTATCTTACACTTTCTTGACTAGAAATAGCCTTTCCAATTAGTGTGGTAAATCGGTTTTTATCTTCCCCCGGTACATCTCATTGGGATGCGGTCATTCTGATTTTGAGGTACTTGAAGAAAACTCCAGGGAAAGAAATTTTGTATCAAAACCATGGTCATAGCAGAGTTAAAGGATTCTCCGATGCTGATTGGGCAGGGCCTCCAAATGATAGGAGAACAACCACTGACTATTGTACCTTGGTTGGAGGAAATCCGGTGTCACGGAAGAGTAAAAAATAGTGTTGTTGCCCGCTCCAGTGCTTCAAATATAAAGCCATGACACCAGTGACATGTGAATTAGTGTGGATTCAACAGTTATTAACTGAGTTGGGCTTTAGAGCTTCAGTTCCTATATCACGATAATAAGGTTGCAGTGCATATAGCTTCCAACCCTATGTTTCATGAGAGAACAAAATACATTGAGGTTGACTATCATTTTATTCAAGAGAAGCGGCAGAGTGGAGTGATTCTTCCCAATCATATTGGAACCGGTGAACAACTTGCAGATATTTTTACTAAACCTTTGAGTAAATGGGAGAATATAATATATTTGTCGCAAGCTAGGCATAATTAATATCTATGCTCCAGCTTGGGAGGAATGTTAAAAGTATAAAGAGTAGATTGGTCTTTAGGACTCTTAGGGCTTATATTATTGCTAATCACTGATGTGTGTGAATATATATATATATTGATCTTTTCTTAATAATAAAATATAACGTATTCCTCTCACAAGCCCAACTCAAATGAGCTGCTGGAGAGCAGAAAACCAAATGCACCTCCACTAGAGATGGAGTGCTAGAAATAACATATTAAAAGGGAAGATAAACCACAAAAAAAGAGGCCTGTTCATATACAAAATTCACTGTACAAGTTCTGTGCCTTGTATCATATGCAGGTATACTTATCAAAGAATGTAATATCCCGGTACAGGCCAATCATAACAAAGACTGTTTCTGCATTTGTACAGCTGTATGTGTTCCTCCAAAGGATCTTTTCTGCATGTGTTCCTGTGTCAGCCTGTCTACAATCACCTCCTCAATTACTTGCTCATTATAGATATTCCCGGGGAAGTAAAAGCATGTTATTATTCCTTGTGTGGTCCAATAATGATATAGACATTATTATCGAGATCAAAGAGTTCGCACCACTCAATCTCATGCAAGCCCTAAGCTTCAGTGAACTCGAATATTGCACCTGTGTGGTTGAACCCGCATGATATGAGTACCGCTTTCACAGGCTCGTCAAAGTAGACCATTGCCGGTTTTATGTAGTCCACGTCATCCCCATGACCCTGAGCCATAAATCACACGTTATTCACAGTGCAAAAGCATTTAAAAGAGCAAAGTTTTCAAATGAAAGGACAATTAGGTAATTATTGAATCCCCAACCATAAAACACAGAAAAAGAAAGTAGAAGCAAATGACCTGCTTGAAAACCACCAATATGGTGCTCACTAGGGCCAAACCAACTAAACAGAACATTTAAGAAAGATCTTATCATCTCTACATTTTCACATCTCCAGGGGAAGGGAGCATTGGAGAATTCAGAGACTACTCTTGCACTCTGCTCTTGCTACATTTAAGATCTTTATTAATCATGGATGGAGGAGCTTCAATGATATAGCTATTGGTAAAAGAATATCCTAAAGGTCAAGCTCTGGTCTTATTACATGTTTTTTGACCCAGCAGCGCATAATGCCATTGAAAGGTTTTGTGTGCTTCAATTCACTCCATTATAGATAAAGAAGTGGCAATAACACAAATTAGCAAAATGTATATATTACTATTGCACAAATTTAATGTGGTCAAAGCAAATTTTGGGAGATCTTTTTACATACCAGTTGTCCACCAGAAGAATGTCCATCTTCCGAAAATGTCCCTTGAGAACCTCCCCAACCCCAGGTGAAAACTTTGCCATCTGCATAAATACAAGGCACAATGCTTGAAGCATCAGTTCCATGTTGAGTTCCTAAAACATCTCAGTCAAAGCAGCAACAAGTTTGTCCAAATGCTCTCAACTTCATAATTAAAAACGTTTTGGCACAAAGGAAATTATAATTAGGGAGTTCAGATCACATCCAGTTTTAACTTCATGAGTTGAATGATCTCTTACCAGAGATAGCAGCTGTATGCTTCCAACCACAGGATACCTGTAACAACAAAAGTGACTAGCTTATACACGTCTTCCTGTGAGACTTTCAATAGGACAATTTTCGAATATCTACTGAATAAGGTGATGGCCCACCTTGCTAACAGGAGATTTGACAAAAGGACCCTTGACTCTCTCAGGTAAATGGAAGACATCTGTTGACCTGCCCATAACAAGTTAGAAAATCATTCCAATAAGAACACTGAGAATAGCACCGGAAAAGAGAGGAGGTTCATGCTGCATAACGATCTCAAAAAGTCCTCCTTCTGTTTGGAGGGTAATTAAAAACAAACAGTAAGTCGCTTATACCCATTTCCCAGACAGCCATTTTCATTCGAGCCCCATGTATAAAGCTCCCCACCACCTACAACAGAAGCATGCAAATAAAGCACTAAGTCACCTAAGACAATACATTGGATGAAGAAAGCAGACTCCATCTAATTAAGTCCAAAGAGTAGCCTCAAAATAACGGTTGTTGAGACTATGAGTAAAAGTTTAATAACCTCAGCAGCTTCTTACTGATCAAAAGGGGACAAATCAAGAAAGGAGAACCATATAGAAAATCAACACAGCTACCAGAATTCCAATAAGTTGTCTTCCTTAGACTGACTATAGAAGTTTTGAAACATCTTCTGCAGCTTTTTTCCTTTAATTGCTAATGTACGGTCCAATTCGGTTCCCGCCAATCATGATCATCTACTCTAGAACAAGTTAACCATGGATAACTGTGTGAGCATATGCCATTTTAGCAGACTGATGAGTATCAGCAGTTGCAGTAATAGATGATCGCTTAAACCATAGATAGCCTGATTGATTTGTCATGTTACTTTGCATCCAAATTTTTAGCAGGGGAATCTATTGTGCCCTTTCCTACTTGTGTTCAGCAGGAATCTATCTTCATTGCTGGCTTTAGCAGATTTATACCCAAATCCAATCTCTATGAACTAACCTTCATGTCCTGAAACCTTATTCTGATTTAACCTGTTGAAATTTAGCTGAACATTTCCTATTAGAATTTCTTTAAGAATAAAGATCCACTAAGAAGACTTCTGCTGATGCTGCCGCTTAACTTCTAAAGACAACAATAAATAATAGCGAAAATAAAACATGATTAAAGATAAATGGTTACATGTTATAACGCATGTGTGATAGCCACCACAAGCAACTTCTTCAGAATATGGTAGCTCATCAATCGTGGATGGAGTTGCTGCATTTTTATCCCCTCCAAATCCCTGATACATAAAATCACAGTCATGCAATTGCTAATTTAACCATACTCTGGTTGTTATGCCAAATGAAGAGAGAAATGCAGCACTTGCCAGTTTTTGTAAAGCTTTCTCGCCAAATAAGAACACAGAGCCATTCTCTGCACAACTTGTGAATTGACTTGAGTTAACACTCAAAGTACAGAACAAAGTGTCACAGATTGAATATGCACACACACACATAAAACAAAGAAAAGCCCGGAGACTGAAGAATACCATCTATGCAAGCTGAATGCAGCAGCCCAGCAGCAATATTTTTAACCTAAAACATGATAGAAATGAAGCCAATAACCACAATGTGTATAAACATATAAATGAGAACATGAAACTGGGAAAGCAGCATTTGCACATGAAGACTACCTTCAACCCCTCAAGCTTCTTGATGAGCCTTGGTGTGTATTCACTGCATCAAGTTATAAGGTTAAAGAAAATGAGAAAAGGAATAGCATGATTGAACATTCACACGGGATTTTGCACTGGAGAAACCATCAGAAGTCATTTGACTTGCTCATAACAATAACAATATGTACTCATCTTTTTAGGATCATGCACGATGTCTTAGGGAAAATCAAATACATAAGGAAACTAATTCCAGGTGGCTTAAACAATTAAAGCAGAGATACTGGGGGCATAAATAAGAAGCTGTGATGGTGCCACCAAGAAGATATGAAAGAGATCAATGGATGGATAAACCTTATGTTTTGATCTAGAAGGACTGCTGAGGAAAAAAGATGCGAACTAGGATATTAGTTGATAAAACATATCACTTAGGGCAGTAGGTACGATATAATAACCACATTAAGCAGTATCACACTACAAATGCGGCTAGGTCAAAGCAGCAGGAGGCCCAAGTAGCCATGTAAAAAACTTCTGAAAGACCTTAATGGATTACTTAGAGTACAAATTATTAGACAGGTATGTACCCTACACATCAAGCTGGTTAATTCAAGCTGCTGCTGCTCTGCGACTAGTCTCTATCACGGAGAACTATCATACACTTTACTCAATGTCAGCAATGCTTTTACTCCCAATTAAACTGTAATAGGATCTCTCGAAGGCACATGAAGATAATCATATTTGTAACAGAACTAAAGTGCAAATTAACTAAAGATTGCAATTCGCATATTTTGGACTAGTGCCAATGTCTATAATAAGATGTTATGGGTATCAACACTGGTCATAAAGGATAGGGGGTCCTTTAAGTAGCCCAACCAAGATTATTTTGGAGAAAAAAAAATGCAAAGCGGTGCTAATAATGACCTCCCAGTATCTGAAGAGTTTAAAAAGCCCAAAACTGGAAGCTTCTCTACGACCATAGATACCAACCTGCTGCTTCCAAGAAACCCAAATATACTTGATTCATGTCCATGACCAAGTCTTCCAGATCCTCCACCTCCCCAGCTTAAAGCATCACCTTTGTCTGGCATTAACATAGGCGTGTGAGTGTGTGTGTGAGAGAGAGAGTGAGAGAGAGAGAGAGAGAGAGAGAGAGGACACTCTCAGCAGCAGGGATTCAGCAAAAAGGTTGAATTCCTACCTGTAACAGCAATTGAATGCTCTGAGCCCAAAGCTGACCTTTTTACAAACATTCCAGTCAAGCACTCCACTTTAGTTGGCACGGGGACAACTTTTGCAGATTCTGCATAAGTTCCGAAGAAAGGATGCTTGAGCAAGTTTTAACCTAAGATTCACTTGACAAACATAACAAGTATCAAGTTGCGACTTAATGATCTGACCATAACAAGATGATCAATAGAAACAGGCTTGTTTAGTTAAAAGGCACCTGCTCAAAAGAACATTTTCACAATTGAGTAACAGAGTCTTATCTTCCAAAACTATTAAAATGGAGCTAGAGTTATATCTTTGTACAACTAATTTTCATTTTAATAATATTCAGGAACACGACATACAACCCCCCCCCCCTCCTTTATGAATATAGAATGATTGCATGAAGCAGTTGCATTAACCGAGTAAAAGTTTTTACATCAGCTGTGCCAGGCAAAATTCTTCACCAATTACAACAAACAAGAAAAAATTAAGTCATCGACAAGGACATAAGGCCAAAAAAATCTGAAACTGTGAAAATTGTTTGACTGATAAATATGTCATCTTTATCAAAGTTCCAAGCACGACAGATGGCCAGAAGCTTAAGAACAAATAATTGAAAATTATCATTAGACTTACTCCTCATAACAAATCAATAAATTGTGCACTATCTATGACATCTCTACATTTCAAACTACAAGATGGAAATTTAGAAAATAGACTGAGTAACCATCGGTTAAATAATTAATCTCGCACATCATAGTAATATATGAATCAGTTATTTAATAGCATTTTCTATTTCAGGATCTTACTTTTTCCGAGGCCAAGCTGTCCGCTTGAGTTATTCCCCCACATGTAGAGTTCTCCATCCACTGCAGAAGACCATACAAAGTATTAGCCAACTTACGCAGAAAGGATTTTAATAGTATTTAAACTTTAATGTGATTTTCACTCAAAAAATATACAAGGAAATGACAGATAAACATCCTATAGAGCAGGATAGATCCATCTTAGAGGACAGAGAAAAATGGAAAACCACCTAAATAGCATCTTCCAAAGTCCATCATTTACAAATGAAACAAAACTTAACCGATTATATGAAGATCTATTGTACATCTCTAAAAGGGAGCCATATATCTTCTAAGCTCCTCCTTGATACAATCAAATAAAGAGAGACAACCTTCCTATTGAACAGAAGAGTTCCCCCTAGCAAGCAAGTATTTCCAACTAGGCAACAGATCCAACGGTATCAGGCCCACCATTATGACAGAGACATGTAACCGCATTATAGTAAACATCGACCCAGCAATGAACTCCTTATGAATAAAACAGCTTCATTCTAATTCAACTTCATAAGGTGGGATACAACCAAGAATAATCATCCCTTAGGAAAGGAAGCCATTAGCCAAAAAACCAACCCTTGAAATGCTGCACAAGAATGTAGAACACAACCACATAGTACCTATCAATGTTGAAAAGAACGACTTGCCCTTGGCCTTCAGAACACACCACGGGAGGCAACAACCAATTGCAGACATTTAAAAGAGAGAAGTTTACCTAATGCGTCCTAAATAAAAAATAAAGCGCATATATCACCGGAAAAAGAACAATGTAGGGCAGATTGGTTATAAGAGACATCAAACCAGATGGCGACTGAAAGACAAGCTTAGCTTATCCAATAAAAGATTGCAACAGTGGTAAAACCAATTCACTAAAATTTGGACCAAAAAATTGCTCCTGCAAGGATATTGGAAGACCGCAACATCCAATGACATCAATTTTGCCTCCCAATCATATATTTCATTTGCTCTCCTCGAATGGGTATCTTCTTGGAATTTTGATAAGACTGAGTCATGTATACCCTTTTAGCCACCTCATATTGACATAATAAGTGCCAGAGAGAGAGACATGATTGCACCAGAATAATTGTTTCCCATTATCTCTTCTTTTCTTGAACAAAGAATGCACCACAATGTACACATAAGCTCTCTTAACACAGACCAGCCACATCAAGACAACTCCGTTGCAGTTCTGCACCCAAAGATTACTTTCTCCAGAAAAGAAAAATTCAACCATCAATTTCCATTTCGTCAGATCCATAATAAGAATGCTAGATTGATTGGTTCTCATCCTTTATTACCAAGTGAAAGTTCAAAGACCTCTAGTATCCAATGGAATCATGTTTCTGAGAAAGATCTATCTGGGAATTCTAAGTCTTGAAACAGAGGCTGGATCACTGCTTCCCCAAGATAGGAATCCAAAGTTGGATCTCCAGCTTGCAAGTCAAATGGCCTTTCTGCCTTCTACCTTATGATGTGATGTAAAATTAAATCTTCTCAATCCTCCCAACCAACTAGAGCATCCCAAAACATAGATGATAATAAGGACTGTATAAGTTATTTTATCCGTAGTAAATGAAATGCAGATTCATATGCATCAAAGTAGGACTAACTCCTCACCCGTGATAGCACAAGAGTGATGGTAGCCGGCAGATATTTCAACAATTTCTTCAGGCAGTCCAGAAACTTCTACAGGCTCCTGCAAGGATCCAGAGGTGTACTAATGAATAAATTTATTCATGATATTTGCAAGAACCTTAACAGTTTACACTCCAACTATGTGCATTTAGGATAACTTCATGAACTCCCATAAGATAATCTAAAACTGAATTTGAGAAAGCCTGAAAAATCTCAAACATTAAATAGCAATGCTTCTAAGCAAAGATTACCATACTTTCAGTTTCTTCCACTTTTTGCCAAAGAAAGAATTATGATGAATCCACAATAATAAAGCAGAAGATGACTATCAAATAAAATCAAGTGAAAAGTGTGCTGGCCTACTTGGCACTACATTTTTTTTTGCTAAACAACTACCTGACACTACATGGTGACATAAATATAATGCACTTTCCTGCTAGTTCTGCTTCTTAAGAAAATAACATGGTGACGAAATCATCTATTGCTATGCACGAATTTTGTATAGCCATGCCGCATCAAAAGGAAAAATATCACCTTCCATAAAGATGGATTGCAAGATTAAAATGGACTATTCATCAGGGCTCAGTTTGAAGTTTATATCATACTCAACATAACCAGGGTACCCCCCAACAACCTATCCCCACATCTAAACCCGGAAAACATCTCCCCATGTGAAGAATAAATTTGAACCCTGTAAGAAGGAATGCCTGAATAAAGATCATGTTCATGACCCATTAAATAATAAGACACGGCGCTTTGTTTAAAATCAATTCATCCCAATCAGCCAGGTAGCATGGGGTGAGGTAGAATTACAATAATTAGGGCCCGAGGTATCTGTATACTGGAATCAATTATTACAGACGGTATCTTATGGATTGACAAGCTATTAACAGGAATAAAAGGTTTCTAGTCAAATGAAGGACAACATGCGTGCATATATATATATATATATAAGACACACCGAGGCAGACACAGGCACAGGGTTATGATATGCATCAATAGATAGGAAGAGAAAACTTGCATCCCAGAACTTTCAAGGACAAAAGAAGTCATGCTTGAGAAAAGTGTACTATTTCCTCTCAAACGTCAACCAAAAGAATATAAGAAATAAAATAGCGTCAAAAAACTAACATTTAAAAATGGTAAATGGCGCCACATTTCTATGATGAAATAATATATTTGGACCAAAGGATGCACCATAGAACAAGGTAAAGAGGATCATACAATAGTATACATTTTATCATCTGAAATTCCAAGCTGTCCATGATCATTCAGACCAGTTGCATAAACTTGCCCAGATTCTGTTACATTATAGAGACATTAATGAGCATCTACTGAAAACAACACAAATTCCACAAACTTTGCAAGCTATTTTGAGATGACCAACTTTTTTTTTTTTTTAGTTTTAGTCTCCTAAATCTGGACTTTAAGGAACAAAGAGACAAAGTAGCAAGAGTGTTAAAAAAACCCCAAGAACTACAAAGAGGGCTACCAAATGAACCCTCCAATCAAGACAATGAATAGTACAGCCAAGTTCTGTCACCATGGCTGCAATTACCATGAATAACCCTCTTTCTAGACAAAGAAATTTCATCAATTAAAGTGGCTTCTTGGGATTGCTTTTCCAAAAATATTGCTGTGGGGTCCTTTTCTTGCAACAAGAATAACCTTTATGTTTGCCATGAAAAACAAGAACCTGAGTGCAAAGAAGTAGCTCACTCATCCAGTAAGATATTATTGCTTGCAGACGACCCCATTGATCTCCATCTTGTCAATGCAGTTTGCGAAGGCTACCCATCTTATCTTTATAAATTCAAGGGTTGTATACATTTCTCACCCAACTCTCTTTCACCATGATAACAGATGTACATTAATTTCAACAGTCATAGCAGGGTGATTGTTTCAGCTATCTTAGCTTGAAGGCACTGGATCGCTCCTCATTCAATACCCACTTGTTGCTAACAAGCACACAACTCAGACTTCAAATTTTTTTAAAACCGAAACAGCATCATCAAACGAAAAAATAGAAAATTGATGATCAGGGAAATTAGAACAGCGAACCCACAAAACTCTTACGGTCGAAAAATCAAAAAGGAGCGGAGACGGCGAAACCTGTTAAGAAGAGGGTGTGAGCTCCGCCGCAAGCTATGGACTTGAGACTCTGTCGCTTAAACCCAGAGAAGGCGACAGGCTTCGGCCTCCATTGCGACTCCAGATTGCCGTGCCCCAATCTCCCGTAATCCCCATTCCCCCATACCGCAGCGAACCTCCCTTCGCTCGACGGCTCGCCGGACGACGACGCCGACGACCACCTCCTGATCGCTCGGTTCGCGATTTCGCTTCTCAGCTTCGAATTCCCGATTCTGCTCCACATCTGGCCTCCGCTTCAACGACCCAGTTCAACATATACGCCTCGAATTCAATTCGCAATGCTGCATCGATCCAACAAAGCGTATGATGCGTCTAGAGAGAGAGAGAGAGAGAGAGAGAGAGGGAGAGGGAGAGGGAGAGGGAGCGAGAGAGCTGGTGGCTTTGAGCAAGGCAACGTAAGACCATGTCTTGCTGGAGTTCACTGGAAGTTGGCACGGTCGTTTTTTCTTTTTTACCTTTTTAGACCATTTCCCTCCCTTTTTTTTGGGTAATTTCACTTTGACCCCCATTTTGACAAAATCTACTCGATTTGGTCCAAATTTCACAAAAACTTTTAAGTAACCGGAGTTTACACATCTTTCATCTTCCGTATTCGCCGTTTAAAATTAGAAGAGGAGAATATCGAAATGATTAAAAATAATTATATATTGAATTAATGACATTATACAAAAGTCAACTAGAGATGTAAATTCTAATGAGAAAACTACCAAATCCATTTACCCGGACTCATCATTTTAATAACATGGGCTTTCATATCATAAAAGGTAGTACATCTAGTTACTATGATTGAAAATGTGCATGATTTGCTCGTGCACCTTCTCACTATTGCAAAAATAATTGAATTGGTCAAATTTGAAATTATTACCATGTGCAATTCGTGGGAGCAAAGTTACAAGTATACTTTTTTGATTTTGATTAACAAAAATCAAGTGTCAAATATTGAAATTACGGAGTCAAAGAAATCAAAATGCATGGTTATCAAGAACAAAAACACACAAGTAGTCATTCTTGTTTGAACTAGACTTGATCCATAGACGGCTCGAACCTAAAATTCCATATCCAAATCCAAGCATGCTTGAAACAAATTAGTTTTCCATAAAAAAATTAATGAAGTCTACATAAGCCGAGCTTAAGGGAATTACTTGCACATATCCGTCCATTTCAACCCTCGAGTGAAATAAGCCTGAGCATAATCAATTGGTCTCCATGCCCATGATGACCTCTGAATTTGAACTTGCTATTGTTGGCTAGTGAAAAGGAAAAAAATGAAGGGCATTAATGGGTACTTTGCTATCAAAATTGATCTGGAGAAAGCATACCATAGATTGGAATGGAGCTTCATCCATAATGTGCTTCATCTCTTTAATTTTCCAGATGCTTAACCGCAGTATTGGGCAAGGCGATCCCCTTTCCGCTTATCTTTTCATCCTCCGCCTCGAAATTTCTTAGTAATCTCATTGAGGACAGGTGCAATGTGGGGCATTTGGATTCCCTTGAAACTTGGAAGGGCCGGCATGAAATTCAGTCACATTTGCTTTGCAGATGATTTGTTCCTCTTTTGCAAAGTCGACATAGATGTGTGCAGATCCATGAAAGAGACCCTTTATACTTTCAGTGAACTTTCTGGGCAGGAAATTAACCTCCACAAGCTTTAGCTTCTCTTTTCGACGGATATCGAACTGGACATCCAAGATAAACATTGACAATTTCCTCGGTATTCGAAGTACCGAAGACATTGGAAAATGGGCAGCGATTCTTGGAAGATGAAGATGATCGTTCAGCGAAGAAGCAGGGCATGAACTCTGCTCAAGCGAACCAAAGGTTCGTGCATATGGAATGTTGAAAAATTATGCTCCTCCGAATTGTAGAATAAAAGAAACTTCAACTTCAAACGGGATGAATAACGAAGTCAGACTTTGAAGCGTGATATCACTTTCTTTAAGGAATTATTTACCCCACAAAGTTGCTAATGGTCACCAGCAAATTTCCTCCAGGATACAACAAAGTCTCGATTGAGAATACCGAATAGCAATTTCGGTATATCTTCAGGGTCTCTCTAGAAAAACAATTAGAAAGACTGGCTGCTGTTTTCTGAATGAAAAAAGTGTCTAAAAATCCGAATGAAGAGACTTAATATTCAACCATGTAAAAACTGACTCACTAATCACACCCTTTCGAACAAAGGTGTCCCTTCATCGAAAAGATGTATAGTGAATTGGTACGAAATCCAAATTCACGTTGAAAAAAGATATATGAAAATTTGGAATAAAATAAGAATAAAATAAAAGAATGGAAAATTCCAATTAAGAACCCCAAGTAGGATCTTTTTCTCAAAAAAGGACTCTAAGTGGACATAACGTCAAATAAGGGCATGAAGTGTCCAATCAGTCTCAAATAAGGACCTGAAGTGCCCAATTAGTCTCAAGTAAGGGCCTGGGTTCGCCGGCCGGTCAAATGCTCACCGGCCGGCGAGCACGTTACTGTTCCGGCGACTGGAACAAGAGCAGTTTCGTCTTTTTCTCTCTTTTTTTTCCTTTTTTTGTTTGTTTTTTTCCTTTTCCTTTTCCTTTTCTGTTTTTTTTTCTTCTCTTCCCTCCGTGGGCCTCAGGCGGAAGCCGCCCTCGCCGGCGTCCGACGAGGGCGAGGGTTGCCCTCGCCGGATCTGGCCAGGATCGCCCTCACCCGACGCCGGCGAAGGTCGCCCTCGCCCGCCCAGCCCAATTGAGGGTCACACTCGCTGGCGTCGGGCGAGGACGACCCTCGCCAGATCCGGCGAGGGCAACCCTCACCCTTGCCTGATGCCGGCGAGGGCGACCCTCGACTGGGCTGGGCGGGCGAGGGCAGCCTCCGTCTGAGGCCGGCGGAGGGAAGAGAGGAAAAAAAAACAGAAAAGGAAAAGGAAAAGAAAAAAACAAAAAAAAAAGACGAAACTGCCCTTTTCCGGTCACTGGAACAGTAACCGTGCTCGCCGGCCGGTGAGCATTTGACCGGTCGACGAATCCAGGCCCTTACTTGAAATTAATTAGGCACTTCGGGCCCCTATTTGAGTCTGATTGGGCACATCATACCCTTATTTGACACTATATCCACTTTTGACCCTTTTTTGATAAAATGACCCCACTTTTGGTACTGATTTGAAATTTTCCCATAAAAGAATAATATTTTTTAATAATTATTATTTTTTAATCATTTTTATTAATCCGAATTTTATAAATTCTAAAAAATAATCTTTGAACAAATACAAACTTTCAAAATTGAAGGAGTTATGTCCAAAAAGACATAACGGCCCCGTTTGGTTTAGCATTTGAAATGCTCATTTGGGCTCTAAAGTCCCTTGGCTAAATGCAAATGGTGTTTGGCAACTTTTTTTACTCATTTTGGGCATATGCAATTGCATTTCCAATGCTCTTCAAGGGACTTTTGGCCAATGCAAAGTTGGAGATGCCTTGGGAAGTTGCATTTTTGGAATTCAACTTGCACTGTTCATCGTGCTCTGTTCATCTTCCCCAGATAGCAGGTCCGGCGGCCGGCGACCGCCGCCTGAGAACTAGCCTGACCCCGGCGACCCCCTCCTAGGGGTCGCGCCACCCCAGTGACCGTCGCCTGAGGTCGCGCGACCCCAGGCGGTGGTCGTCGAGGTGGCGCGACCCAGGCAACGCCGCCTGGGGTCGCTAGACCTCGGCCGTCGCCTGGGTGGCGTTGCCTGGGTTGCGCAACGCAGGGCGTCGCTCGAGGTCCGTCGACCCCAGGCGGCGGTCGCCGGAGTCGCGCAACCTCAGGCGGTGGTCGCCAGACCTCAGGTGTCGCCTGGGTTGCACGACTCAGGTGAAGCTTGAGGTCACGCGACCTCAAGCCGCCTCGCCTGAGGTCAGGCGGCGGTGGCCGGCAACCAGATCTGGCCGTCGGCGGTTGGCAGTCGACCAATTTAGCCAGCAGCGGTGGCCAGTGGTTGAGCTCCACCGGAAACTTTTTTTTTTTTTAAATATTAGCAAAAGTCCTTTACAAAATATAGTTTTTACCAAATAGTAGTTAGGCCAAAGTTACTTTCAACTGTGATTTTAAAAAACATTTATCAAACGCCACTTGCATTTCAAAAAACCCTTTTAGCCCAAAGGTATTTGCATTCCCCCAAAGGCATTCCCCCAAAGTCGAACCAAACGGACCCAACCTTCCAAAGGTGAAGTAGTTATGTCCGAAGGGACACAATTCTTCCAAAGGTTATAAGAACGCCTAATAACCGTTAGGCTAAATAAGAAATTTCGAAATTAATTAATAAAAAATAACCGTAACTCTATTGAAAACAGTCACACTGTTTCAATAGGATAAAATCGCTATTTTATAATAATAAATTCGAAATTTAATAAATAAAAATAATAAACGAGGATTAGTGCTAATTATCATCCGCGAGTGCGCCAAGTGCTAAGTGCGCCTAATAATCGCGCACCCACACGCGAGTAATGAGAAGTCTAGTGTACACCCCACTCTCTTCATTTTAACAAGGAAGAAGACACTCACACATATAAAGTGGCCCACCTTCTTAAAACTTTTCTATGTTGGACAAAGGAAAAAGGTACTATTTTATTTATTTTACAAACAAACAACCAACAATCCCCCACTTTGTTTGTAAAACAAAATATCAATTAAGATTATAAAAAGAATACAGCCATAATTTCCATGAGATTATTATACATACATAAAAGTCTATTTCGAGTTAAACCTTCATTTAGTGTAAGCACATCAAAACTCTATAAAAGTGACAAGTAGCTATGCTTTAAACTTGTACTCTATGCAATAGAATAGGACATACCACACATATACTAACCTCTTATTTCAACGAGAAATTATATATTGCTCAGCACTATTATGGCCATGCGCTTGTACCTATTTCATGAGCTCTCCAGAAAGTAACCCCAACTTTCATAAAAAGCGGCACCACTTCTAAGTTCATATAGGTAAAGTACCTTTCGTGTGTTTCTGTTACTAATAATACATTTGAACCATACTTCATTAAAAATTTAATTCAACCTACAAACGTAACAGACGATACTGATTTCTCATGTCCGGGCTCATGTCAGTATTAAACAATCACTTCAGTAACTTGTTTTACCCATTAAACCTTATAACTAGTGATGTTCTAGTATAAGGTCGGGTTACCATTACTGGTGATTTTAATTAAAGGGTTTCAGCCCCATTTTTTTCAAGGTCGTAGTTACCATCTCTCTTGGTAAGGCCTTTGTAAAAGGATAAGCTAAATTATTACTTGACCTCACGTAGACAATTGTTATGGTACCATCCTGAATCAATTGTCTCACGTACTCGTGTCTTAGACTAATATGTCTAGACTTACCATTGTAAGTGCTACTATAAGCTCTTGTCAAAGTAG